GGTGGTAGTGGGGTATGTGTGGGCGCCCGTGCCTTAAATAACTCTTTGAATATACATGAGGAGCCAGCCACTCAGAATCTGGTAATGCCCAATTCTTGAACCAAAGAATACAACAGCATGAATTGTTCAATTTGATGTGTCGCTTGTCACTTCCCTCATATGTGGCTCTGCATTCCAAGTGCAGTTCGTGATTCCAACAACTGGTAAATTATTGAAATGTTAATTAAAATCTATAATCTGTTATAGTCTTCTTTTTCCCCATAAAACATAAACATAACAAATGAAATCAGTAAAGAACATTACTGAACATTGTAGAAATGTATTATTTCTTTAGTCTTATTACAGAGAAATATAAAACCACCAAATTTTATTTGGGCAAAAATTGTGATCTGTAACTTTCTAGTTTAGTTCAATTCTTCCTCACTCCAGACCCTTACACTTAAATAAGTAAACAGGAAAATCATTTTTGAAAACAAATCAATGGAATAAGTGACATCCAATCCAATATTGGTAAAATGTCAAAATTTTAAAAAATCAAAGCATAATATCCTTTTCTATTTCTATAATTTGATTTCACAAGAATGAGATATTCTGATTTTTTGTTTTACAAGAACTCTCAGCACAAATAATTTAACTTTGGGTCAGAAAAGTACTTCTTAAATATACAAAGTTTCCTTTTAGGAAAATGATTTCTTCATTTGACAGTGTTAAGACCCCAAAATAAATTCAGTGGGAGTCTGAAATGATTCCTGCAGCATAGCAACTAAGTATTTTTTTTCCTTCAGCAGACACTTCACACCCTTGAGCTCTCCCCTTTCCACAAACTGTCTAGCTGCTCGGGTAATTTTTAGAGCAAGCACCTTTTATCTTCTCTCCACCTTTTACCTTCCTTTCTTCTTTAGGAAACATTAACTGATCCTTCCTTCTTCAACAAACAAACACCATGCACATCTTTACCTTGAATCTACAAAAAGATGTTTCACTGTCCTGATGCCTAGTTTAACCACACTCATAGTCTACAGGAAAAAAATGTAAATATGCCGTAATTAATGTTGATTTAAGAAGATGATTCACTAGGGACATTGTTAAGAGGTAACTTTATTTTTCATTTACTAGATTTTTATTAGGACATTAAAACTTTATGCTGGATATTTTTGAGCTCTTAATCATTCTGCAAATTTCAGTGCTGTTTGTGATGGTTCGATCACACTTGCTCTATCTCTCAAGGAAGTCAAACTTTTCATTGTGGGCTGACCTTCTGTTTTCAGCAAACTTTGTGTAATCATCTAACATTCATGGTGATTCTTTTAAATAATTTGATATGGATTCTAAGTGCCACAGGTGCACCAAAAATTATATCCCAGAAGTAATTTACTCACTAATAAGCAGACAGATTATAGATATACATTTCTGCATACATTTTTACTGCAAGCATTTCTGCACTCTCTGATGATCCTTTTGCGTATACTCTGAAACCTCCCCAAATAAAAATAAAGAGGTGTAAGGAACTTCTCAATAGAAACCAAAAATGAATACTTAAGGAACAATTTATAAATTGTACGTGTCAATTTACAAAACCTTGTGCATGTTACTACTGCTGCGGAATTAATTAATGCTTGTTTATTCGCCTGATACTGTGGACCATTTTCCTTCCAAGTGTGCATCACAAATGTCCATGATAACGACCAAAGACAAACAAGAGAAGTCTCCTTCAATTTAACCCATCAATTTATTAGAAAGTTGGAGTGACTTCTTAAAGTTTCTAAACTGATTATATTTACTAGAGTACAATGAAACATGAACATTTCTCCTTAGAACAGTGATGACAGCAAAAGAAGAATAACTGTTTTGCGGAACATATACCCTGAGAACTAAACAGCCATCAGCTCTGCATACTGAATTTTACCTCCCTGCAATTTATGACACATCAGTTTTACAGGGGCTTGTGCACGTTAGTAACAAGACTGAAGCTGACAATGTGGATGAGACAGGTGGGAACCTCAGAGAGCGGAGACAACACACTCAAAGTAATGTGCTTGTTGAGAATATAACAGCTCAAGAAGTAGCCTCCTATATAATATGGTACATGTGTAACTTGGATATGTATGTGAAGTATGTCTATGTGTGTGTGCGCATATTCTCATGCCTGTCTTTTGGTAAATATAAATATACTACATGGACAGTATCTGCTTTGTGTGTGTGTAATGACAGCCAAACACATATATACAATGTAAACAAATGGTAATGATTAACAGATATTGGTTTGTATTGCCAATTCTAACTGCAGAGGAAAAATGGTAAAAAAAAGAATCATATTGTTGCGAGGTTTCTTTTATATTGCTTCTTATCTTTCTTCCTTGAAGTCATTTGCATAGCCAAAAGAATAGCAGTTTATTAATTATTTAACTAGAATTTTTACAAGAGCAAATCTTTGAGCTCTAAAAATGAAATGTATGCCTTGAGAAAGATTAGGAAGAAAGAAATTTTACTACTATGAGAAAAGTTAAGTAAAAAATGAAGAAAAAAAGAAAAATGAAAAGACTGTATCTGTTATAGACTTATATGTATTCTATTCATCACAAAGTTCAAAGAATAATCCAATAGTTTCCTTACAATTTTCTACCTTAGTAAAGCATATGGAATACTTTTAACCACTATGTGCAGGTACAAGATAAATTTGTTTATTGTTACATTAGCTTAAGGTTCATCACTCTAAACCAGGTACTCTAGCTAACTTAATACACTACATGTGAGCAAAAGCAATCTTTACTCTTCTACCACAATAAAAAGAAACTAAAGAAAACTGTCAGGTATTTTATATAGAGTTGGCAAATGAATTGCATTGAATAAAATCTCTGAAGTAGTTCAACAATTCTAGTGCCGTTTTCTGGTAAGGAACAGTCTTACAAAAGGAGACACAAAGTGTTAAAATAGTTCTTGCTATTTTGAATTTCCTACTTAATTTCATATTCTTATATTTTTATTTTTCTTCATTTTAATCCCAGTATTCTTTCATTTCCTTTCATTGCATGCATGTTTTTCTGCCCACTTAAACTGTTTTCATCTTCCTTTCTTTTCTGTACCTTTTACTATCATATTCAGTAGTTTGAGCGATGAACAGCTTGACTTAGCATATTTTTAACCAGCTGGTCTAGCACCTAGCCTGCATTGCATAGTCAGATACAACCAAATGTTTATACAGAAGGTAGCTTTCGTGAAAATGAAGGGGTAAAAAAGCCTATGTAGCACGCATCCCCTTGCATTCTTTTATTTACTAAATGAAAAGTTTGAATTCTTTGTTAAAGGAAAACAAGGGCCTATTTATAATATTTAAAAATAAACTGGAGGGGAAGGATATTGGATCTTCAATGAAAGTGTGTACCAATGTATGAGAGAAGGCTTCAAAACACAGTTTAGAAAAGGCAGATTTAAGTGAAAGAAGCAGTAAGCTCTGGAGGTTACAAACTACTGCCAGTGATAGTAAAAACTTAAATCTAAATGTTTAAAGTTCCTACATTAGCTAGAATGGGGAAAGACAATAAATAAACCATAAATAAAAATCCAGCTTTTGACATTCAGCGAAAAGCTGCTGGCAAAAACTTAGAAGAATCAAGAGTTTCCCCCTTTTTTGGATACGTAAAGGCTGATCTCTTGGCAGTTAACTTGACTAAAAATAATAACTTCTGTTAGATCAACAAAGGGTCATGTGCTTTACAAAGCGCCTTCCAAAGTTTTAGGGAAGGATCAGATTGGAAATGAAATCCATGGCTTCACCCCAACCAGAAACCTTCTCCATCACCCCAGAAATCACTTCTTGAAGACAGAGAGATGCTAACAATGAGGGCATTCTGCATCAAATATTTCCTCCCATATTTAGTAGAGTGGCTCAGTGAAGGAGTGCGAGAGAGAGAGAGAGAGAGAGAGAGAGAGAGATCATGGTAACGTTCATTAAGATCCCCATTAGGGATCTAATCCCCACCAGAAAAGCATTACTGGTGAGGCAGTTGTAGAGGACTTTGCAGATCCCTTCAATCTGCTTCGTGCAACAAAAACAAACAAACGATCAGCAAACTGACATGTAATCCGAATTGCAAAGGTAAAGCTTCTCCACCGAGCATTCTTTGGGGGAGCATCTCACCACTGACACAGAGACTGCTGTAAAAAGGGAGAGTTAGACTTTTTTTTTTTACACACACATACACACACAGAGAGAGACATGCACACAAAAACACTCCACTCACCTTTCAAACTCCTGAGGTAAATCAGGGTCAGTTAGCATGCTGGAAAAGCACAATTTCCCTTTGTCACAGCAGCCACCTATGATCGCCTCCAACTGAACCTGTCAAGTGAGTCCAAACCTTCTAAACCGATTGATTTTCTCTTTTTCTCTGTCTGGCTCTCTCTCTCCCACCCCCCTCTCTGAGCTAGGACTCCTTGACCAGTCTCTTAAAGGGGTAGCACACTTAGCAGTAGACACTGTTTCTAAAACTCCCCCCACAGCGGAGCAGCACGCTGCGGCTGCAAGGCACTAGACAACCTCAGGGTGCCTGTCCTTTCCTTTTAATTCTGTCCTCCAGTCACCACAAAATGGGAAAAGTCAACTCCTGGAACGTCCATGAAATCCAAAGAAACCCCCCGAAATCTATAAACCAGGAGTGAACGAACCCCTGCGCTGAGGCAGATCAGGGGAGAAAGAAGATAAAAACAAGAGCAGCCCGATTAAACTGAGGCTATTATCCACTCCCTCCGAGTTGAAATAGGGAAGAAAAGATTAGACACATAAAAAATGTAACCAAAGGCATTTGTACTCAAAGAATTTCCATTCCTTCCCCCCTCCCCCCCCCCCCCCCCCTTTTTTTAAAGTCTCCCTCTCCGTCTCTTTGGGGGGAAAAACAACAAAAAACAATCAGGCATTGTTCTGAGGGAAGAAAAGCAACTTTGACAGATTGAAATATAGCAGAGGCCCCTTCAAGGAAACCTGTAAACAACTTGTCACTCACTCTGTCGGTCGCACTGTTAGCTCTTGCTTGCCACAAAGTGCTGCGAACCGTCCTGGCAACAAAACCAAAGTTTCCTCAGCTCCAAACTCCATCAAACAGCCCTGGTGTGTGAAGGGGGAAAGGTAGCCACATGCCAAAACAGCACACACCGCGCACACACAACAGCCACCACCAACTTTCAGGCTGTCCTCTGGATTTAAAAAAACAAAACAAAAACCAAATCTCTCTCTCTCTCTCTCTCTGAGCAAATCAAAGGAATCCCTTAGCTGTGGATCTCTTTAATTTCCTCTGCCCAGACAGCCGCAGATAACAAGGTGGACAAAGTGTGGTTTTAGAGAACCGAGGCTGGCTGGCACAGCACAGCCCTCAGAGCAAAAATCTGGCAGACGAGGAAGGTAATCAGGTAATGGACCTTTGACATGAAATGACAGAGGCGCGCGCGCACACACACACTCACACACACACACATGCAGAGACAGGGACTGGCCAGTGCACTGCAGCATCTGGTCAACCAGGAACGCACACACACAACATTCACACGCAGATAAGACAGTGTGAATGCTCCACATCATATATACACACACACACATACACACACACACAGAGAGAGAGGGGGAGAGAAAGAGAGAGACCAGCTATCCACTCCTACTGGGAGGGTTCATTCTGCACAAAAGGCTACATTACAGAGCCCGCCCCAATAGGGAAGGGGTGGGGGGAGATGGGAGAAGCCTTCTATTGTGGAGAGGGCAGGTCAGTTGATTAGATTTTCTGTGGAGAATTCCACGAGGAAATTCCCTTCAAAGCCAAAGTGATTCACTGGGGGGCTATTCTGGAAATGGAGCAGACAATGGCTCAATAGTCTGCGCTGCCAATGTCCAGGCTGGCACTGAACTCACTTTAAAAATAAATAAATAAATACAAGCTTCCAGTGTCTGTTCTTTTTACACACTCAACCCCCTCTATTCCTTGCCTTCCAGTTTCTCCTCCCCATTTAGGCTTGGTTGGGTTTGGGCTGTCTTTTTTTTTTTTTTAAATGTGCAGCTGGACAACATTAAGAGCCTTTAAAAAACACAAGGTTTTGACCCCCACAGCAGTTTGATTAGGTCCATTCCCTCCCTGGCTCCCCCTTTCCCTGACACAGGCAGAGAGCAAGTTTACTTTTTTTAGAAGTACCAAGTGCAAGAAGACACACTAACAAGAGACTCTATATAACTTTCAGCCCTTTCGTGTTGATAGGTTTAAAGAAAAAGCATGCCAAGTCTATTAAAATCCAGCAATATGTGCCTTTAAAATAATGTAGTCTTTTAAACTTTGCATATATTGTAAAGCTACACATACATACAGAGAGGGCATGCACTCAAGTGCAGTATCAATACTTTATCAGCATGAGTCGGACATAGCTTTAGTCACAAGTAATAATAAACACTTGTGAGTTACGAACATTTCAAATGTGCATTACTCTACTTATATGGGAGCAAAACATTAAAGCTAAATTTGCAAAGGCACCTTCCATGTTGCACAGAAAAGAGTTTAAAAAAAGAAGCTTGTCTCAAATCTACTTCATATATATTGCAGCATTCAGAGCAGGCACATAGAAATTGTCAACTCCTGGCATGAGGTAGATCTAATGGCTCCTCACCATAGGGCAGGGTAAATTGGTCTTCTTGAATAGCCCCTGGCAAATAATATTTTCAACAGAGGTACATTCACAATAAACTGACAAATCTAGTTAATATGCACACGAGTTTTTGTTTGTTTTTAGTAGATAACCCTTCCTGAATAACTATGAAACAGACATTAATAGAGGGGCAGCAGCAGATGGGAAAAAATAACCCCACATACTTTGAGGATCATAAACCATTTTAATTAAGCCACACATTACTCTTCTGTAGTAAATAAATGTAATTCTACCTAATTTTGATACCCTTAGTTGTACTGAACAGTACCATACACCACAGAGAGACCTACCAAAATCAGCAGGGGCTCTGTCTGGAGTAAAGTGCTATTCAGTATGAATATAGGTATAAGGTTTTGGCCTTTGTTAAGTAACTAGGCCAAGCTCAGACAGCTAGTAAGTGACTGCATTAGGATGAGAATTCAAGAGTTCTTACTCCCAATCCCCTGCTCTAATCAAGCAGTAATACTGCCTCAGCTGATGGGGACACAGCTGCTATACAGTTTTGTTTTAGAAATTCATGCGTCCTTTTTTGCACATCTGCAAATTTCAAGTGTTTCACCTACAAAGGCACTAGAGTTCACTGCTTTGTTAAAATGGTTAAAAGTTAGATTACCCCCTGTAATGTTGGCAGAACTGGTGCCAGTTCATGCCAAAGCCTGTAGGCTTCACTGAACACTGACAAATGCAGAGCTGGAAACTAGTCTGGCTCACCTGTGTATTAGCATTGTTAAAATAGATGTTAAGTTGATAAGCATGAGTTTAGTGTTTAGACTTGATGAAATATTCATAGGAGGCTGCCAGTACTGATCTCCCATATAACATCTGTAGTCCAAACTATGAAGTTGTACTGTTTGTATTCTAAACCTCTGTAATTGTACAACTCACCAAACAGGAAAGAAGCATTAATTAGCATAAAGTGCTGGTCTTGCTCACAAGAAGGCCCATTGAAACCAAATGAACCATCAAAAAATTAAGACTTCGTTAATAGCCCCTCCCACATATACCCATGAAGAGCACCAGCACTTGTTCCATCAGTTTGAACCCAAGGGGTAGAAAATAAAAATGGCTGACCAGAAGAAACTGTATCACTCTGCTGAGTGAATCTAAAGATGGCAATATTACTAAGCATAAGTAAGGGATCCCCAAGCTACTTAGCTTGGCTTATCCCTAAAGGACACAGAAAGCCTGCATATTGCAGCAGCTTTTATTACCTTTTGTAACTCATTTGTAGATGTTTACCTTCTTTAATCTTGTAAATAACTTTAATTTCTTTTTCTTAATTAATAAACATTAAGTTAGTTTATATAGGTTTGGCTACAAGTGTTGTCTTTGGTGAGAGATTTATGGTAAAATTGACCGGAGGTAAGTGACTGGTCCTTTGGGACCAGGAATAACCTCAATATTGTCATGATGTTTGGCGTAAGGGACCACCTAATCGCAAAGGCAAGCTTGTCCTCCAGGGGACTGTCTAGGAATTCATTTTTAAGACTGTTGTAGTGCTTGAAGAGTTCACACTAGGCACTAGCAACCAAGTACCAAGTGTGAACTTCTCAAGTACCAGTTGGAGTTTATGCCCTGCTTCTTAACAGTGTATCCTGAGGCTGATACTCATGGTCATGAGCCAATCCAGATAGCTTGGCACCTCCCATGGATACCTGTCAAATTTGGGTGGCTCCATTTTAATTAATCATTTTCACACTCCTTAGCCCCCCTTTGCTAGCTCTGCTATCCCATTCCTCAGTGATGCTTTACTTTTCCTATCACTGAGCATGGAGCAGGACATTGGTCAGAGGAGGAAAAGCAAAAGAGGCAGAAGAAGATGTAGAGAGCAGGAGTTTGCTCCATAGGGAAGCCTGAGGGACCACTCCCTATTCCCTAGCTCTCTTTGCAACTGCCTAGTTTCCCTTTTATTCTGAACTCCCTCACAGGGTATGTCTATACTGCAGAGATTTTTTCAGATTGTTTTTCTGAAAAACAATTATTTTTCTGAAAAAACTTCACTTACGTTTTTCTGAAAAAAACTTCACTGCACTGCAATCGCATTCTTTCCAAAAAAAAATCGAAAGGACATAAGGTTTTTTTTCAACATTGGTAAACCTCTTTCTACAAGGAAGAAGCCTTTTTTCAAAAGAGCTCTTTCGGAAAAAGGCGTGTGTGGATGGGGAAAAGGTAGTTCTTTCGAAAGAAGAGGGAAATGTACAGGTGCCCTGGAGGCCACTCCATCCATAGGAATCACAAGTTAAATGTGAGATAGCATCCATTCAGTGTGGACACTATCTTTCAAAAAAGCAGATCACTTTTTTGAAGTACTTTTGATGTGTAGGCTCTCTCTTTCGGGAGAAGTTTTTTTGGAAGATCTCTTTTGGAAAAGCTTCTGAAAGAAGCCTGCAGTCTAGACATAGCCCCACTAAACTCCCTCTCATGGCTCACAGAGGAAAAGAAGCAGGGTCTAGAAAAGGGCAGAAATGTTACCATTGTTATCTTTATGTTTCTCTGTGAAGCCAGGTTTGTCTTAATAATGTGCCCAACTGCAATCTCAAGAAGGAAAGGAGGGAAAATTTATAAATAATTAATTTAAGAAACCTCTGGAAAATTAACTGAATAATCTTTTCTACAAATCATACTGTCACAATTTTTAAGACCTCTTACCTCCGGGGCTGCCACAACACAGAACAAGAGGAAACCAGAGGAGTTGGGGAATTCCCTGCTATTCTCCAACAACAGAACATTCTCATTCCTAGCTTTGCTGTTTCTTACGATATTGGAACTTACATCTGTTACTGGTGCAGACCTGAATGTTGCCCATCAAATAACTCTGACCAACATGTTTAGGGAAGAAAGAAACAAACGTTTGTGGGCCAACTCTTTTGTTTATTTCTTTCTTTTACTTTGTATTTAAACTAGGTGTCTATTTGAAGGGACGCAGAGGTTTTCACATGTAACAAGTAGTCTCAACAAAAATGATATACAGCCAGAGTGTAATAGAAGCAGTCGAAGGTGAATGATACATTAAAATGTATGTTATGATTCCGAAATTTATCACTCCGATATCACCAGACATATTGGCTGGATAGACAACATAGCTTTAGATAGAAAAACTAAAATATGAGTAACTCTAGAAGATTTCAAGGACTAAATATACATAAAATAATAACTCAGAACTTGAAAATAATTTGGTGTTTACTAGGAAGTAACTCACAAGTGAATTGCAACAAAAGCAGGAATTTCAAAACCACACAATGCTGACCTAATCCGGCTTCCATTGAAGTCAACTGCACTGTTCCTACTGACATCAATGGGAGCAAAGTTAGGTCAACAATAACGATGAAATCCTTTTGGACCCTTAGGTATTTGGTCCACACCACTACAGGACATAGTCACCTTATAAACTAACAAATTCATCCTCAACACATCCCTGAGAGGTCCAAAAAATGTTATTTAGAACCATTGTATAGGTAGGAACTATAGCACCGCTTGATTAAGAATCAGATCTCAGCTGCTGTAAACTGGCATAGCTATTGTCAAGAGACCTTCACCAATACACACAAATGGAGTATATGAACCTAAGTGTTTTTCCAAAAAAATCACAGAGGAAATCAATCACCCAAGACCTAAACCAATGCCTTAACCACAAAACTCTCTTCCACTTCTAGTGGCTGTTGCCTCATTCACTATACCCCGGCAAAGAA